AGATATATCTGCCTTTAAGCAAAACCGATAGGATTAAACTGAACCAGTTTTAAATCCCACCTACTGCAATGGCCAACCCCCATCTTCACTCCGAAGTGCTTTTTAATATAATTCACCGATTAATCCAGCTTATCCAACTGGCGCCTCCAGACAAATGGAGGCAGCTGCCCAGCAGGCTCTCCATTCCACCGAGTGGAAGGGCCGGTGGGGAATGGTCGGCACAGGCTGGGATTTGGACACATTTTGCCTATCCTGGTCTCAAAAGCCCTGCTAGGTCCCCCTCCTACTTTAAGGCACCCAGGGTGGTGCAGAACTGCATCCAGGGTGGACGGTTTCCAGATTATGTTCAAATTGGATCCTGCTTCTTTTAATGCTCTTTGCTGAAAAATCCTGAGGGGTTGCCTTATTCCCCCCCCCATTTTTGTGGGAAACTGGAAGTTGTTTTCAATGGGAAGCCAAGGACCAAAATCACAATCAAATGGCAAACATTTAGAGATGCCTTTTTAATAACAAGCATAATTTCCTTCCTAGATCAACATTTCTCAACCTTGGCCAGTGGAAGATTCATGGACTTCAACTCCCAGAATTCTCCAGTCAGAACGGCTGGCTGGGGAATTCTGGGAGTTGAAATTGACACACCTTAGAACACAGAATATCTATGGAGATTCCCAGTCATCCAGGTTTTTGGTTGTCCCAAAGATGTTTTTTTCAAGAGGCAACTGGACTTTCTGGTTTTTCTTTGAAAATGTTTCGCTTCTCATCCAAGAAGCTTCTTCAGCTCTGACTGGATGGTTCCATTCCTTCCATTCCTCACCATCCAAGTCAGAGCCAAAGAAGCTTCTTGGATGAGAAGTGAAATGTCTTCAAATAAAAAACCAGAAAGTCCAGTTGCCTCTTGAAAAAACACCTTTGGGATAGAACACAGATATAGGGTTCGAAGGGACCTCGGAGGTCCTCTAGTGCAACCCCCTGCTGGAGCAAAAGACTCTATACTATTTTGGACAAATTTTGGTCAAATATATGTCTTCAGTTTCCAGTGATGGAGCATCCACAACTTCTGAAGGCTGTTCCGCTGATTTGGTAATCTTCAAATGGAGAAGGTTGAGAAATATCCTAGGTTTTGCTGGGTTTGGCCTTGAATTAATCTATCTATCTATCTTTCTTCCTTCGTTCCTTCTTTCCTTCGTTCCTTCCCCTCTCTTCATTTTCTTTCTTTCTTTCTTTCTTTCTTTCTTTCTTTCTTTCTTTCTTTCTTTCTTTCTTTCTTTCTTTCTTTCTTTCTTTCTTTCTCTTTCTCTCTCTCTCTTTCTTTCTTTCTTTCTTTTCTTTCTTTCTCTCTCTCTCTCTCTCTTTTCTTTCTTTCTTGATTAGCCCTTGGGCCATATGAAAGTGCAAATTCCAGAAATAAATTATTACTAAACGTTGATCAAATTAGAAGCTAACCCAATGCCCAAACTAAGTCACCAAGATTGCAGCTCATCAAGCCTGCAGAATCCAGTCCAGGCTGTTGTGCTGCATTTGCACAACACACACATTGCTTTTCACTCTACTGGCTTCACACCTGCTGTCAGAGCTCAACTTACAGCTACAGGCAGGTTTCTTGGGGGAGGGGGAGACAGGAATAAAATTGGGGGCGAACCTCCTCTTTTTAGTATTTCTGGCCTGGGGACACACGAGAAATCCCTCTATGGCCAAATGGACAACTGGCAAAGGTTTGATTCACCTAAAAGGGGAGCGAGAAAAATAGGATTGGTCATCTCCACTGGGTCCTTTGCCCCAAAGTCGAGAGAAGTCCGACTCAAAATGTGGCGGTGGGTCCCCAAATTGTTCATTGGCAACGAGATTCAAGGCTTTGGAGATTTTTCGAGCAATCTGACATCCGTTGCAACATCCAGACGCTGCCCGGGTGTAATTTATGTCTGCAGAGTCTAATAGTAATTGTGGGCTTGTATTTTGCATTTTCTCCCCATCTCGGTTTGCTATTGGTCCATTTTTATGGCATTTTACAAAAGTATTGGCCTGAGACAGATTGGAAATTAAAAAACAAACCAACCCTGGTTCTTCATCATGGATAGCTTGAGAAACTCTGGTCTAGAATAGCAATTCTTTCCTTCCCTGGCCTGGAACAAACACCGTTGAAAGCTTTCCTGGAGGGACATTTTGATCGGCACCCGAGTGGAAACCTGTGCCAAGAAACTCCCATTTTTTCTGAATCTCACTGAGTTGCGGGGGGAACAAGGGGCCTCTTGGTCTGCACCCCACAATAAGGGCCAGATCCACTGTGTCCTGCCAGGATAGGGGTAGCCCATGAAGCAGCCATGCTTCCCAACAGCTCACTAAACCACAAAACAACCAGAGATTTCTCTCTAGCTTGTCTGAATGCAGCTGCCCCAGAACCGCCTTGGCACCCAGGATGCATGGAGCCCCTGACTGGCTTCGCCGTAGTTTTGGGGGTGGGAGGAAGGGGGGGGGTTCCATGAAATCACCCTCCTTTCTTGGAGCTGCCACAGGCTGTGCCTTATGGGCAGGGCAGAGCTGACCCTCCAGATTCTCCAGGCGGGCAAGAGGAAAGCTGGCATCTTTGAGAGGGCGGCGGTCTGTTTGGAATCCCTCTTTGCTGCCTGGAAGAGTTCCAGACCCAAATCTGCTGCTCCAAGGCCACTTTCAGCCTCAAAAAGACCCCTGGGCCTTCTGCCCCTTCCCACAACCTCAGCCTGGTTTCCCCACTGTTTGCCCATTGACGATCAATCAGTGTGAACTGCAGGAAACAGAGCAATCCTTGCCTGGCACACCAAAGGGCCAGCCTAACCTCTGGAGAGGCCAACAAGGGTTGGGGAAGGAGGGGGGATTTGAACCCCTAACCCTTTCAAAGATCTAGGTGACTCCGTCCATCTTCCCTTCTTTATTTGTGGTCCTCCCCCCTCCCTCTGCTCCCCCATTCCCCCCAAAGCCCCCTCGTTTCAACTCTTGATAGCTTACGCATACTGCACTCTGTGTATCTCATAGACCTTTATAAAGCTATTTATCACACTATATTGATGTTTCTCAACTTCAGCCATTTTAAGAAGGAGTTGGACTTCAACTCCCAGAATTCCTGGCTGGGAATTCTGGGAGTTAAAGTCCAACCCCCCCTCTTAAAAGGGCTACGATTCAGAAACACCACTCTCTCTGTACATATATAACGACGTATTTATAGATAGATCTCTGATCTATGGCTTTCTCTTCGCGTTGGCTGCCTGTTGAGGTTACTCTACATTTTGGCAGAACCAGGAAATCGGCTCCAGTTGAGGGACCCTACCCCAAATCATACCTCTGCCCCCAACCGGCCTTTGGGGAACATCCGTGGCGTCACCGATGCACAACCGCTTTGCTCCACGTCGGGTCTCCAGGCACTCTTGCGTCCTTCTTCGGCCCCTGCCCCCCCACCCCGCAGCCCCCCACTTCGGTTTTCACAAAAGCAAAACAAAGTTTAACCAAATAATAATAATAATAATAACAACTCGTGATCTGACATGCTCGTTTCTTTTTAACACCGTTTTGGAAAGAAAGGAACACAATATAGCACCTTGTTTTTGAAGGGAGACCTAGGAAGGACGACGGTGGGAGGCATGGCGGATGATGGGAGTGTGGGCCGAGCCAGCAAAACTCCGGGCAACGTCGGCCCCGTTCGCCCCTGCGGGGGGACACCCCACGCCACCCCAACTTGGTTCACAATGGCATCGAATTATGGGTGTCAAACCTATTAGAAACCCCCCACCTTCTAAAAAAAAACAAACCAGTGTGATTTGGAACTTCCACCCCCCGTTTTGGGATGCGTCTGGTTGGCATTTGGGAAGTGGGAGTGTCCCCCTGTGGAGAGGTTGGGTGCCCTGGCATTTCTCGGCTGCCCTCCCAGAAAACCTTAAAGGACGAGAGGAGGGCTGGTGGGTGGTGGGCAGGACAGGGGTTAAACCAGGACACAATTTGAAGAGGGAGGACAGGGTTTGGGGGGAGGTCTCTGTGTCCCCTTCCTCCCTCGGCCAGTCTAGGGGGTCAAGCCTGGCGCTGGCCAGGGATTCCTTTCAGAGCAGCTGGTAGCGCGGTTGGGGTACGGCCAGAGGGAGGGAGCCCCATTGTTCCCACCTCCATCGAAGGCCCAAACCCTGCCGAGGGTCGGGTGGGAGAGGGCACCACGATCCGCTTGCCTGCTTGGGGCTGGCCACGCATCATCTGCAGTCCCACCTGGCGGGAAGGGGCTGTGGTTCTGTGCATCCCCCCCCCAAACCCCCTTTTTAATCCTCCTCCTCTTCGTGTGGTCCAGGCACCCTCCATCCCCCTTCCGGGGCAAAAGGCAGCCCTAATTCAACTGCTTGCCTTTAAGTCTGCCTGGGGGGGGGGCTGGGGGGGAGGGGGGAGAACGAAAACG